TATTCACTTAGAAGCGGTGAATATCTTAAAATATATTTTTTTTGGAGTAATGTCCTCCGAAAATGGCGAAAATATAGTAATGCTGACCTGCCTCAACAGATCCTAACAGCTCAAGTTTGTAGACCCAATAATGCTTAGGTGGCTTTGCCATGGACAATATATTAAGCCACGTCATCACCACCCTCATCGAAAAAGAAAGAAAATAAAATAAAAAGAAAAATCTCCCTGCCCCATCATCATCATCGGTCCATGAACAAGAAAACCAATAACCATATAACAATCAATCAATGTAAAGTGTTTGGATGAAACCAAACCGTGGTTTGGAAAAGTAATTCTGGAGAATAGATTTTGGGAAGAATAGATTCTGGAAAGAATAGATTTTATGAAAAAGTGATTTTGAGGAGTGAGAGTGTTTAGATAGTTGTTATCAAAAGCACTTTTTATATATACAAATTACTAAAAAAATATAAGTTAATATGATAATTACAGAAAAAATAGATTTTATGATATATTTTAATTTGAAGGAATAAAATTGTTAATAATATATTTTTTATTAACATAATTAATAATACATAAGATAATATAATTAATAATTAATTAATATGTATATATATTTATAAAATATAAGATTAAATATGTTTATAAAAAATATGTTTATAAAAAAAATAACAAGATACATATCCTCTAGGCTCTCACACTCTCCCTTTTTTTCTCCAAAAGCAAAAAAATTTTGCTTTTTCCAAAACCACAGGTTTGGCCTAAAACCATGATTTTGGTTTTTGGGTGGATGTTTGGGTTATCAAACCATGATTTGGGGTGTCACCAAAACACAGTCTAAGGGCAAGAAGAACAATCCGGAAAAAACGGACATCTTCCTCTTTATCATCGCCCTTAATCGCCCATCAAGGAGATGATTCTGATTTTAATTTGCTTCATTCTTGAAACTTCCATTACCGATTATTTAATAGCTCTCTCTTATTTTCCCTGCTTTGCTCTACCCAATCCGTTTAGCTTTTTGTTGAATAAGTTATTATCACGGTTAGGGTGTATTTAGTATGAAAGATTTGGATTAGAGGGAAGAGAAGGGGGAAGATTTTAATTATTTCTCTTTGTTTCATAAAGCACAAATTTTAGGAGGGGAGGGAAATTTTTTCCTCAACTTCTCCTCCAAAATTGGGAGGATTTAGAGGGAAAAGGTAATATTTTGTCATGTTATGACTATTATGTCCATATCTTGTCATGTTGTGACCATTATGCCCATATCTTAAATAAGATAAGGGTAAAATTGTCCATGTTAAAATATTTTTTCTCCCCTTCCCTCATGAACAAAACAAGGTAATATTAAAACTCCTCCCTTCTCTTTTTTTTTTTTTATAAATCCAAATAAGGTAATATTAAAATCTTTTCACTTTCCTCTCTTTCCCTTCCTTCTATTAAAATCTCTTCCCTCTCTTTTCTCTTATTGAGCTAAACAAACTCTTAGGGTGTATTTGGTATGAGGGATTTGGAGAGGAGGGGAGGGAGAGGGAAAGATTTTAATCATTTTCTCTTATTTGGCAACACACAAATTTTAGGAGGGGAGGAAAAATTTTAAAAAATTTTCCCTCCCCTCCCCTCCAAAATTGGGAGAATTTGGAAGGAAAAGACAATATTTTGCCATATTATGACTATTATACCCATATTTTGTCATGTAATGACCATTATACCCATATCTTAAATAAAATAAGGACAACATTGTCCATGTCAAAATATTTTTCCCTCCCCTTCCTTCATGAACTAAGCAAGGTAATATTAAAACTCCTCCCCTTTTTTTCTTTTTTATAAATTCAAACAAGGTAATATTAAAATCTTTCTACTCTCCTCCCCTCTCTTTCTTTTTATTAAAATCCCTTTCCTCCCTTCCTCTCATTGGGCCAGACAAACCCTTAGACGTTTCACATGAAACAGCTCAAGCTTTCATATTTCTTTTCAAATCAACAATTTTCTTCTTCGTTTTTTTTCCGTAGTTGTTAAACTTCAAATCCCAAAACCACTTGAAATATAAACCCTTTTTTTTTTTAAAAAAAAAAAAAGGATCACCTGATTCAGATTGAAACCCCATAGCAATCTAGAGAAAAAAAATTTAAGCCAAGCACCAGATCAACAATTATACTCAGATTTATTGGCAAAATAAAAAATAAAAAAATTAATGAAAAGGAGTGAGATTTTTCAATTAGCCAATCAACTTAGTTCACAGGAGATGACATTGTCGTCTGGTGAGAGAAGCTGAAACTTCAGAGAGTTGAAAATAAAACTGGGCAAAGAGCTATGAAGAAAATGTTTGGATAAATCGAGACGTCGAAGGCATGAGATGTTTCATAGTTCTTCCGAAATCGAAGCCAAAAGCTGGCTATTATGAAGAAGCAAGGAAGTCAATCTCGACACAGCACTTGGGCTTTCGATTTCATTGCAGGTGACTCCATTCCATGAACAGAGCAAAGGAAGGAACAAGAAGAAAGAATGTAACTTTACTCAGTCGCCCCCTGCCGTCATTAGGAACTCGGCATCTCCTCACGCTTTCTTCGATTTGGCCGTCGCCTTCTTCAGTTCCATTTTCATTTTGATTTTTTTGGAGCTTTTTTTTTTATGCCAAAATTTTAGGAAAAGGTTCAGGCTCACCCATAATCCAAGAGCAGGGTAACTAACCCTTAACCCCAGTCCTATCCAGCACTATAATTTTACTGGGATGGGGAGAGCTCCATGTGAGATACCACCACATATTACGAGCTGAAATCTTGGCTTCGAAGATGTCTCCCTGGCATCGTGACCGGAGCCACAACAAAGTGACATTCTCATGATCGAACCCCTTCCTCTTGATGAGAGTGTCCGACCCCTTCGCCAGCTGAATCCACGAACGAGGGGTGATTTTTTGGAGCCTTTGTCTCTGCCATTTTTGTCACTGGGAAGTCAAAAGTTGATGTCTTGAATTTTCTTCAATGGAATAAAGCAGAAGTCACCAGGAACTTGCCAGGAGCATCATTATTTTTTTAGTTTTTTTTTTTGCTTATTAATCCAACTTGGAAAGAGAAGATGAACTGGATGCCACGTGGCCCTACTGTCTAAACATAATTTGGTCAACAAAAGCTCAACGTTTGAATCCATTCCGATTGCTGTACAACTGTACATCGATACGTTGTTACAACTTTTAACATTACTCTGAAAAATACTTCCGAGTACATACTGCTCTTAAATAAATACTTTCCGGATAAAAATAGACCTTAATTCAACTAACAATGATATTAACCCAAGATTAAACATCAAAACACAAATTTAAAAGCATTACATTAGTTTTTTTCCTTAAAATATAATATAAAATATATAGGGACCTATTAAATTTCTTATTTTTTGCAATTTTTTTTGGAAAAAGGATTTCACTCCTCTGGACTAAATTTGCTACAAATATAACCTTGAGAAATAAAACTATGAAAATTAATAACAGTTGTCTAAGTTAATATGATCTTTTTTAAATTTTTTAAGGTTGAATATAATATTTGATTCCTCAAGTTTATTTTCATTTTAGTTTTGATCTTTTAAATTTTAAATCTTAGGTTTTGATCTCATAAGGAGTAAAATAGTCTAAGTTTTTATTAAATTATAAGAATTAATGTTTTAAATGAAAAGAAACTTGAGAGATTAAAACATATGGTTTGAAATTTAATGAACAAAAACCAAAGTGATAGTAAACTTAAGGGACCAAAATTATATTAACCCATTTTTTAAATATGACAATCTTTTCTATAATCAAGATTAAAGAAATAAATAAATAAAATTTGGGAAATATTTAGGCTAAATTTCTTATATCTATTATTTTAAATTCTCAAATTACATATAATCATGTGTCCCATTTTTAAAATATAAACTATAAATCCAGATTAAAAAAAAAAGACACATAGCGATGTGTGATTGGAAAAACTGACATAATTAATATAAGAAATCTGGTGTAAATATTTCTTTTCAAAAGATAACTTCAAAGTAAATATAAAATTGGTATTAATATTTTTAAAATGTAAAAATAGATATTATTGAATAATATATTGAAATAAAAAGTTCACTAGTTTTTAAATGATTGGGAAATATCATTTGGGAGGTAGCATTGGAAGTTTAATCCTAAGATTGGAATTTTTCAAACCAAAATCTGCTCCCTTCCCTTCAAATAATGAAAGCTTCTTTTAATAATAAGACTGTTATAATCTTTTTACAATTTATAATTAATTTAAAAATAAAATTAATCCAATCATTCCTTCCAAATATTACATCATATTAAACATAATTTTAAAGCTCCCAATTCCATACCCAAGCTCATTCTCATTCCCAATCCATCAAACTTGAGACCACTTAATGCTTTTTGCCTTTTTTGAGTAAAATCTGCTTATATTAGTATATTAAATCGACTAAACGTTTGGTAAATCATTTTTTAACTCATACTTATTTTCTTTTCTTTTCTTTTTCCAGTTACAGTTTAGTTGATTTATATATATACACGCACACACACATTCCTCTAAAACTTAATTTAATTGTTGAATTGATTTTGATCCTAAATGTAAAATCTATTTTTTATATTGATCAATTTTTTTCTAAATTACCTCTATAGATACTTCATCAATCATAATCAAATAGAAGAAAGGAGAGAATATTAAGGAAGATGATTATGGTGTTATAAAAAATATATATCATATTTCTTATAATTAACTAACTTACCTAACCTCCCTCATCCAATCAAATTAGTTAAATAAGTCTTACATTAAAGACCAGAGGAGTATATATATATACATATATATATATATATATTCATTTCGTTTCCTTCCATTGTGAATACATCATATAGTAATAGTACTACTGGGAAGCCATACCATGTTATTGGTGTCTATTCTCCTTCAATTTGAGGTGAAAAATGAAGGCAAGACACTAAAATACAAAAGTTACGTGCATGAGTTTTGAGAATAATGAGGGAACAATAGATAAAACTTAACTGACAATAACATCATTCTTTTCTTGGTTAATTTAGAAATTTTATTATGACAGTATTAAATTACTCAGGCAAGTGTCAAATACAAGGATGTCATATTTGAACTTCATATTTCAAGTACACAGAAAAACCCAAGCACTATGACCACACCCTCTCTTATTCTTTGTCATCCTCTTTCAAAAAGGCAGACCCTTCAAAAAGCGCTTGTAGAAATCCAATGACTCTCTTGGTTTATATTCTGGAACAGTGTGTCCAGCTCCCTGCATCAATGGCCATTCAAATAGTATTATAAAAATGCCACGTTTGGGTAACCATCAACACTATTCACCGAGCCATGAATGGATTCTCGTCACTTGTTAAATCTCAACTGCTCAAATTTCAATCTAATAATTGAGATGGAAAGTAGAGAAGAAGTAGAGGGGACAGGAAGTGAACAGAATCTAAATCCTCACAATACAGAAAACTCAAGTTTTAGTTTTTCAAGACATTATTAGGTATGCAAACCAACCTTTATGGTCAGAAAAGTTAGATTCTTTTCATATCCCTGAGTGTACCTGAAATCAGAAAAGAGAATTCAGTCATTTATTCTTTGTGACTAATAGATTCAATGCCTTAAAATTTCAAGTTAACAGGTCATGTTATGTTCATGATCCTAGCTCTTATGGTTGCTTCTCTAAGAAATGTATCATTCCATCTTTCAACTCAAAATCTACAATGACAATTAAGTATAAGGGTCATTTTTATTTACGTGCTCCTTCATCTTTATTCTACAATTCGATGTGGATTTTCTTCTCACTTTTCACTATAACTTGACCCAAATAGAAATGATCTGGAAAATACCCGGCGACTTGATCATTGGACATCCAAGGCCTCCATTCATCTAGGATTTTGTATCCAAGTGATCTTGTCCAAGCTTCACTTCCCGTGTAAGGAACACACAGATCATGATCACCACTGCCAGAACCAAGAAAACATGAAATTTAGGTATACTTATAAATTAACAGCAGATATGTCTGGCTTCTGCAGAGTAATATGGTATCCATTAAAAGCACAAGCAGAAAGATGGTACAAGTATGATAGATGTTTCTTCATAATTCATATATATGCATAGATCTAAGACGAGTGATAAGCTTAGGAATTGACCATAGACACATGGAAATTCTTTCTCTGTTCACTTATTTCTTGAGTATTGGCATCATGAAGATGGAAAATTCATGACAGTAAAAAAAATTTCAGTTCTCCGACTTACCTGTATATGAGTGCTCTATATCCTCTGGAAGTGAGGTTCTTGTGATAATTGATCATGCTCCCTGCATCGTGATGGTATACAATATTGTCGGTGCATAGATCCCACCTACTCACCACACTTTCCTGTTCAGGGAACAAGATCACATGTTAATTTTTTGTAAGCATGCAATACTCATTTCAGATATGATGTGAAACTTCAAAGGTTTATTGCGTCAATATCTCTGCTTCTTAGGGGCGAAGGAAAAAAAATCTCACCTCTGCAGTGTGAAGTGCTTTCCTAACTGTTTTATCATTCAACCACGCAGTTGCAACCTCATCATTCTAAAAGAGAATATTAGAAATTAGATGATGAATCTATTATACAAGTAAGAGGAAATCACAAAAGTACAATGCCCTTCAATTTTCATAGTTGACTAAATTCAGAGGCTTTCTGCAACTCTTCTGAATACTAAGCACAATCATGATGGCTGCACTAGCATTTTGTTAAATCTATGCCGACAACCCAGTTGAATTCACACCGGATTAACAAAGATAAGAACTAAATTGGAAGATGAAACTGAAATCTTGCCTGGAAGACACCAAATTGAAGACAAGATCAATATATATAGTATCAGCAACACAACATACCGTGCATGGAACACTATTGGAATTGCTAAGTTGAGGCCAAGTTGGTACAATTCCATCTTTCACAGGAGCTCTAAGCGGCCAAGCACGGCCAAACATCCTTTTTCTCACAGGCAATGATCTATCTGTTGCACCCAATTTCAAGAAACTCGACGGCAATCTGATCTTCGATGCCATGACTTTCTCTGTACTGGGGCCATGGTAGCATGGTTCTAGAATATCATATATGTTTAACCCAGACACATCCTGGAATCATAATAAACATCAGTGAGTGCCTATTTGGTTAAGCGGTATAGGTTCAGATAAGCCCCTTTGAACTCAAAAAAGTGATTATAGAGCATATTTATCCTAGTTGGCTAAACTTTTTAAATTCCCAATGAATCGTGATTTTAATCCCAATAGCACGTTTCAGTATAAGCTACTAGGAGTAGCTTTTGCAACTGAAAAATCAAAGTAGATGTTCAACAACTAGAATTTCTCCTATCTACCCTTATTATTAATAATTATTATTAAATTGTGTTATATTTAAATAATAGTAATTATTACTTATAAGAATTATAAATTAAAATTATATTTAAATAATAGTAGTTATTACTTATAAGAATTATATTAAATTATATTTCTCTCATCTACCCTTATTACTTTTTGATAATTATATAGGTTACATTTGGTTCTTTAACTTTATACAAAGTTTCAATTTAGTTCCTTAATTTTAAAAAATATATATTCGGTCCTTTAATCCTAAAATTGTTAGGCATAAATTATGATTTTTTGTAACAAGAACGGTTATTTTGATAATTAAACTTGATATGTTACCATTTAAGAATGTTTTATCAATATTTAAAATTTCAATATTATCGATTTCTTTTTTAAATAATTTTAGGATTAAAAGACTAAAAGAATACTTTTTAAAGTTAAGAAACTAAATTAAAACTCTATAAAATTCAAGGACTAAATGTATAGTTTAGCCTAATTATATATTTATAAGTGATTTTAGTAAATAAAATCCAAACATAATCCACATTCTCAATGCCACTTATACAAAAAAATATCCAAACAGAAATTTCAATTAACCAATATCACTTTTAACTAGTACTAGTACCACTTGTAAAAATCATGATTGTATCTGATAATAGCCATATAAAGAGTTTCACTTAACTTCTAGTCCAGTCTATACAGTCTCTAGCGTATATGCACCAAATCAAAAAAACAAAAAAGTGAAACTCAAAAAAACACAAGAATGATTAGAAACATCACCTCATCAACTTTTGCAAGCTTTTCTGCACATGTTTGACCAAGTGGTTGGTAGAAATTCCCATTGCACTCAGTTCTAACCTCCTGGCAATTGATAATAGAATTAGATGTCCCAACTAATATGAAAATGAACTCATGAAAATTTACCAGAAAGCAAATTGAAATTGTCAATGCAATCATTAGTATCTAATTGTCTTTAACTCATGACACGGAAGAACACTCGAATAGTGTTACACTCTAACCATTTTGAAGGACATGAAGCTTTGTTGTGACACATCTCAGTGACAACTGGATACTCAACAACAGTCGCATTGGCGTAACAGTAATCCATGTTATCTTCTCTATTAAGTCTTCATCAAAATATGAATTTATGCTTGGTTAATCTAACAACTTTGTCAAAAAGAACTCAAAATGAAATCGCCTCTCCTCTAGGGTTTAGGGTTCAGTTTTCACCTCATAAAGATCATCTGAGATAAGGCCCATCCCATGAGCAAATGGAACCAGTGCATTGCCATCAAAATCTTCATCTGTAACACCATTTCCTACCATATAACCCTGCACGTAAATCACGTCAGATTGCAGCCACACAGGCTTGAAAATGAACTGATAAATTAAGGACAAAGACCTTGAAATTCAGATTGGGCTTTACACCAGCATCAATTCCTGTAAAGCATTCAGAAACTCCACCTTATTCCTGATCCGAATACATTGTAACAATTTCAACACTCAAGGGAAAAGCTATTACCTTTCACTATTTCAGAAGAAAGAGTAGGCACATAAATTCCAGCAAATGACTCGCCAGCAACAAAGAACGGGTTGGGCAGGAACTCAGGGAAAAGTTCAAACCACTGGATTAAACAAACTCAGAAAATTAATAGAGGATTTTTTATTTATACCATTTATGTTAAAGTTTCAATTTTTTCCATCACTACCTTAAGGAGAAAAGCGTGCGTATCAGAGGCGGTTTTTTTGTCTCCAGTTCTGTAATCAGATACATTCTTGGAGTAAGAAAAACCCACACCAGCAGGAGAATCCAAATATAAAACATTGGAGACCTGTAATGCAGAGAAATCAATTTATATGAGAAATTTAGTTAAGGAATCAAAATGAAACTTGAGATGAAAATGGTATCTTTTGCCCAAAAGATATATTCTTTTCAGAATTTCGAACATCATGAAAGGATCAAACTTGATACCTTTGACCAACTGTAAGGATTGAGGTGCAGTGTGGGAAGATTTCCCTTAGTCTTTGCCGCTTCAAAATTGAAAGGGCCTGAAACATAAATTAATGTAACACAAGAGTGATATGAAAATATTTAAAGGGAAATACTAAATCATTTATGGAGGATCACATTCAGATTTTATAGAAAAACGGACTTCAGAAATAGAAATTGAATGATTACCATGCTCGTAGATGAAGCCATCAAAGCTAGAGCAGCCTGGTCCACCATTAAGCCACAGAACCACAGGATCTTCAGAAGGTTTGTTTTCTGACACAACAAAATAATAGTACAGGTTCCTTCCATGACTTTCATCCACTGTCACATACCTTCAACGTTCCATTACAAAAACCACAAGATCAGATTTAAGTCAAGTCTTTTTTTATTAAGAGAGAACTTGAAAACAGCCATTGCAGAAATGGGAATAAAAGCAGAAAGAGCTAAGATATCAGACTTAGTCAAGTTTTTCTTTTTAAAGAAACCCCAGATTCCAAATCATAAAATAAGCACAAAAGGTTTATGAAATAAAAAAATCCGTAATCTTTACTGTGAGAATCTGATTAGACACTGCAGAAATGGGAATAACAGCAAAAAGAATGTAATGTACCCAAAAGCTAGAGACACAAGTCAAGTCTTCTTTGCTAATCCGATTTTAAAAAAGTCTTCATTATTGATGAAAGCCACATTCAAATAATAAAATAAGCATCAAGCAAATTTAAAGAAGAAAGCCACAATCTTATAGGCGAGATTGTAGAGGTGGATAAAAGCAAAAGAAGGAATTAGTGTGATCAAAAGCTAAAGAGAGAAGAGCAAGTATTCTTTATGAAGAAACCCGACAGGAAAACAAGAAAATAAGCACCAATTTTTTAAGGGTCAAAACATAATTCACTAAATGAAAATCTAAACAATGAACAGTGAACAGCCATCACAGAAATGTGAATAAAAGCAGAAAACAATATAATTTACCCAGCGTAGTGCTTGGAAGGTATAATGCCATTGAAGCCGGGAAGCTGCGTGACAAGAGCACTTTCTGGTGCTGATTGGGTTAAAACAGAGCTCAATAGAATGTGAAATAACACAGAGAAGATGAAACAATTAATCTTAGCCATTTTTCTGCAGAACTGTTCGAAAAAAACACAGACGTCAGAACCCTATTTATAATGAAGAAGCTGAACAATGTAATGATGGGTGTGACCCTCATTCCTGCAACTCGCTAATTATGTGACTAGTCTTACTTACAAGGCAAGATTAACAAAAAAGATGTTTGTGAATGGGACGAAAGCGAACCCGTTCTTCACCAAAATAATTAACTGACTACGATTTAAAAGGGAAAAAGTTGCCGTTTTAGTGGAGGAGTGGTATTTTATTGGCCAACTAGTGTCTGAGTAGCCTTTAGTCTCACTTCTCAAGCATTGTGGAGAGTTGCTAGTGTAACAGTGGTATCACAGTGAATGCTTTGTGACAGCCAGTAGTAAAGGACACGTGTCGAGGAGTCCTTTGCTGTCGCAAGACAAATTGTAATGTTTATGATTAATAAATGACGTAATTTTATGTAAATTTTATTTATTATATAAAATAAATATATGTATTGATAGTGATATTTAAAAAGGACAAAACTTGAGTACATTTGATTATATATCCATTATTTCTAATTTTTCAGTCAAATCACAGCACATGGATTTTCTTGGTAACACAATTTAACAGAGATAAGATTTCAAAATTCTGATTGTCCATCATCAAACTAAGTATCAATTCATATCTTACATAAGATCTAAAAAAGGTTTATTAATCATGAAATACTTATTAGAGTTTATTATGTATAGATATTTAGTGTTAATAAGACTATCGGAATCTTTTGCAGTTTAGAATAAATTAATGTCCTAAGATTTTATACCAAGAAAAACGTTAATGCCATATAAATAATAAAAAGTGATAAGTTATACTAAAACAAGAACGGAAGGAGTTTAATATTTTAGTTGAGGTATTGATACTTTATATTTGGAATTCAATACCATTCAAATAAGAATTATTTTGTTTTGAAAAGAAAAGTTTAGATAAATTGAGTTTCAAGAGCTCGTCATGACCAAGGTCAGAACATACCTCCAAACTCAAAAAACACTTGCAAAGATACTTATAGAATTACTTAGTAGTATGTACAAATTACAAAATATCGGATGACTATTGTTGGAAAAAAAAATTAGAGAATATAATTATGAAGGTGTAATTGATATTATTAAAAGCAATAAGTTAGATATATTAAATACACTTTTTTGCGTATTAATATTAAAAAAATTTAATTTACCCTAATTAAAATCAGTTCAATAAATAAACATATTCTAAAAATACTTAATTTCGCTAAAAGTTTTTCCCCTTGGTCGCTTTGTTCCACTAAAGTGTCATCACAAAATATAATAACTAGTTAAATGTTGCATTTAACTATTTATAAATTCTTCTTTTATAGACATTTTAGAGCATGATGTTTTGTCTTTTCTTCTTTTAATCATTTCTTTTTCATTTGGATGCGTTAGCTCATGAGAAAAGTGTGCCTTGAGGAGAAAAAAAGCTTGCTTCATAGCCTCCGGGATTTCAGCGTTCATGTTTCCGTTAATTTAGTATAAACATAAAGTTTTAATCTTTTAACCATATAATAAATACTTTCTTCTGAAAAAAGCCATATAATAAATACAGAAGAAGCCAGCAAAAAGAATAAACTAATAGGGTTATAGCTAACATTAGGGTTGCACAGCAGACGGACAGGACCAGACCAGAACCCAACCTGAAGTCTAGTCTGATTTTTTGGTCAGACTGGGTTTGATAATTTGTGGTCTAGTTTAGTCCAGTGATAACCCGAGGTTGGGTTGGACTGGACTTGGTCCACCAAACTAGTGGACTGGTCCAGGCAGTGTAGTTGTCTATTTTTTTTTTTAAATCTTTTTCTTTATGAGAAATAATATTTCAACATGATAAATACAATTAAGACAATAAAAAATACCTATAATCATATGAAACTTGTCCTAAAATATTAAGACTTCATCATAAATACATAAAAATATCTAAAAACATTAAAAACAATTAAAGGCACCATCTAAATTACAAATTATTAAAAAATAAAAAATTCACCTAGACTAGACTAGACCAGTCTAGGTGATATGATCACTTGGTCCGAAACCCAGTCCAGCCCGACCAACTAGTCTGGTCCAGTCTAGTCTAATTTTATTATATAGTTAATTTGGACTGGATTGGACCGGACATGACTACTTCGGGTTGGACTAGACTAGACCGAACCATCGGGTTTTTGCACACTCCTAGCTAACATATATAGGCTAAATTAAAATTACTTTAAGAATTATAATGCGTCAAGAATAATACAATTCATATGCCAAAAAAGATATCTTGCCATAAATGAAGTTATGCAATACTAGTTTTAGTTGTTTTATTTTATTATCATGCAAATTTGTTTTTTTACTTTTTTTTTAACGCGTATCAGAGTTAATACATAGTCAGTTGGGAAAAAAATTCTAGTCAGTGGGGAAAAGAATTCACATAGTCAATAAATAACTCGTTTATATATGGGACCAGACAAAGTATTAAATATTAATATTATAAGTTTATATCATTTTTTCTTATATATCTTATAGGTGTATATATAAGTAGAACAACATCAATTCAAGAATTCTTTTATTAGGGCATATTTACATCAAATTCTTTATATTTATTAAGTCAAGTTATCCGATTACATATATGTGTTTTATTTTTGAAATATTGATACTTAATGACTATTAATTATAAATTCATATAAAAAATAACACATGATTATTTATGATCGAAAAACTTGATATTATATACATATATATATATAAAGAAATCACTTAAGTATTTTTTTTTATATATATAAGACGAGACAAAGTATTAAACATTAAACATTTCTCCACTTATTCTCTCAATTAATTATTTGTGCTAAATGAAGATAGAAAGAAGAGAATGGGGAAATGAGAGATTAACTACATATATAGGAAGGTAAATGAGTAATTGTCCCAACAGCAATGCCACTCGCATTGTATATGTTTAATTGTATTGTATATGCACAAAAAAACTACATATGGAAAGAAGTAAATGAAAATGTGGAGAACATATGCTTGACACCTAATCAACTTATATTCATGGCTAATCTTAATCTCTACAAATTGCCACGTAAAACCATTTAATTTTTTTTTCTACAACCCACATATCTTATGCCTTTTGTTAATAGTTTGCACGCACAACTTTATACTTAAAAAATTAAAAAAAAAAACACTTAACATCGATGGGGTTACAAAACCACAACAAATGCTTATAATTGATTTCCTCATGGAGGAATTTGTTGCTAGCGGGAGAGAGAAAATTAATTTTCCCATGCTAATGTTTGTGACTTGTAAACATACCTCCATTTCCTTTTATAACATACAAATAACCAAGTTGCGTAAATAAAAAAATTGGTTAAAACTGGTTAAAAGCAATAAAAATGTTAAAAATAGATTAAACTTATTTTTTAAAAATGTTCTTATATGTGAAAAATGTAAGTGAGAAAGATAATGAGTGGAAAAAAAAATAGACATATAAAATTAATTGAGAACAAAAATGTAAAAAGAAGTAGTAAATGTTTATACATCTTTAAGGTAACTCATGGAACATGATATAACTATTTATTCCTCCGGTCCTTAATGTAGGACCTAATTATTGAGTTGATTTTGATCCTAAATATAAGAATTATTTCTCATATTTATCAATTTTTTCTAAATTATTCATATGAATACTCTCTTAATCATAATCAAGTAGATGAAGAAAGGAGGATATTAAGGAAGATAATTATAGTGTTTTAAAAAAATATATCATATTTCTTATAATTAACTAACTTATCTAATTTTTTAATTTAATCAAATTAGTTAAATAGTCTTATATTAAAGACAAGTGGAGTATTTATTTTTTGAATTTCAACGAAAAGAGCATCGTTCGAGGAGAAATGGGGATCAAATCCCCAATCTGGTGTCACAAAGGGCACATCTGAAAATACCTATTTAAAAAGTTGTAGCTTATAAAAAAAATCCCAATTAAGTCCCATTAAAATACTTAAATTTAAATTTAGGCTTATATTTTTAACAAATTTCTAATCAGGTTATAAGGCTTCATTAGAAATTTCTGAATATTGTTAAATAAACAGAATGCCTCTCTTTAATTAAATGGTAAATTAATTGTTTTACTCCTCCTATTCTTCTTCTCTTATGATTATTTTTTGAAACTAAAAGATACATAAATAATTTTATAATGTTTAAAATTTGTGTATATAACCAAAACCTTCAAAAATATTTTAATCCAACATTTTAAATTACAATGTTAGTATCCTTTAAATAAATATTTTTTATCTTTAAGTTGTAAAAATTTATTTTTAAGATTTTAAAATATCTTATTTATGAGAAATATTTTATATTAAGTTATTGAAAATTATGTTTTTGTGTAGTTCAACGTTTGCTTAAATAAATAAAACTAACATAAATTATAAGAACTTAATATTAAATATTTTTGTAATTAAAATATTTTAAGATCTTAAAATAAATATTTACAAACATAAAATAAAAAATATTTATTTTAAGGCTATTTTTGACGCTTTTAGTTATATATATACAAATTTTAAATACTATAAAAAAATTTTTTTTGTGTTTTTTAGTCCTAAAAATAATCATAAAAGGTGAGAGATCACTTGAGAGGACTAAATAATCAGTTTTTCATTTTAATTAAAAAGAAGCATTTTAGTCATTTAACAACATTCAGAAATCCTAAATTAGGACTCATGTCCTAATTAAAAATTTGTCAAAAGTACAGGTCATAATTTGAATTTAGGTTTTTTAGTAGGATTTTATTGGGATTTTCCCTATAAAAAACAACAAAGGCAATAGTGCATTAAAATCTCGTATAAATCTATTTCCATTAACCTTGTGTTTGAAAAATCTACTTCCTAGCTTGTAAATGGAAGGAAAAGGATGTGCTTAAGCATTGCTCTGCTTAGATGAAAAGAAAAGTTAGGAGGAAAAAAAATAGTAAGAGAGAAAATAGAGAGAAGAAAAAACTAGAAGGAAAATATTATCA